CAATTCAATAGTTCTATTTATAGTTTCACAATAAATCAGATATTAAATCCAGGTAATCGCAGCCAAATAATGCAATATATTAATCCTGATGTAGAAGCTGAAAAATGTTCTCTTGATTCTTTTTATCCAATTTCCAGTTTCAGTTCACAAAGTGATACTGACTGTTTATCCTTCCAAAAAGGCATTTATCTTTGTTGGTAAATCCACAGTATTGTTCAAAGGAGAAAGCAAAAGAAATTAGGCAGAAATCAGATGTGAGAATCGGGCATCAGTGGGCTGTAGAGACAAAAATGTAGGGCAGAGAGGGGAGCAGAGAAATGGAACAGAGTGAGAGAGAAAGATGAAAGTGGCCAATGCAGGAGGGAAAAGGCACTGCAAGAAAAGGAAAGACAAGAGGGAGCGGATGAAGAGCAAAACCGATGTTAGAAAAAAATAGGGAGAAAGATGAGCTAATAAAGAGAGCGGGATGGAGATAGAAAGCAGAGAAACCCCAGGGAGAAGATGAGTCTCACGTCCTCCAAAGATTGCTCATAATGCCTGCAGGAAGTAGCCAGGTCAAAGCTGCTGGTATCTGAAGCTGGAGAGGGACAGTCTTAGAGGTAAAAAGCTTTGAGAAGAAGAGCGGAGCTTCAAACCCGGGCGAAGGAGACGGCGAGGAAAAAAATAAAAAGATATTACAGAGGAAGGTTTGATGCAGTCAGTCCCTTTCAAAGTTGGTCAGTCTGTCGTTCAGCAATGCTCCAGAAGCCTTTCTTCTATAGCGTCGCAACAGAAGCGAGATCACAGCATCCTTCCTGATCTTTAATACATACCGCAGACTAATAGGAGTAAAATCTTTCAGCTCTCTGAGGGATCCAGTAAAAGCAACAAAGTGTGTGTTAGCTATACAGAGAAAAGGATACAGAAAGGTGGGTGTGCATGTTAGTAAAGAGGTAAGCAGCTCAGAGTGTGTAAGAGAAATCTAAATGTGAAGTCTGGTGAGTGCGTGCTTGAATGTCAGCAAAAAGTGAGCGAGCCAAGAGGTTTTCCTCAGTGCTGCTATGATCGCTAACAAGCAGAAGCATAGCATGAGGGGCAGGATGGTGTGTGTGTGTGTGTGTGTAGGGCGGAGAAGGACAGAAAAGGAGGAGGAGAAAGGAAGAGATAGAAACCCTGTAATTGAGAACCAATGCAGAGGAAGCAATCTGAGCACTACGCTGAAGAGGAAGACTCCACTCTTCATTGACACGCTAATAAACATCATTCATAAGAACTAAGGCTGCAAAACAGCTACAATTATAAAATAAAAACTTAATTTTATGTGCAACAATTCATTATCGGGTTTTAAAAGGATTAAAATGATCCGTGCCTAACTCTTGTAAACATTACACTCTGACATTTTAACACTGATGTTTCTCCCATTCACCCCTAGCTTCCTCTTCATATACCTATTTCTCCTGCATCACACCAAGCCTTCAACAGCAGCCAGGTATCTCAGATAAGACAAAGCACAAGAAGACAAAGTGTGCCAGCAGTTATTCAGGAAGTAACACTAACAATCAGAGGATGTTGAGTCTATAGAGATTTTAATGGATAATTTTCATCAAGGAAAATCTTTATAGAAAGATACCGCTGCTACTTGATTTATCTTGAAACTACAATCAACCTTTTCTATGAAAAAACAAAATGATCATATCTCAGTTTCCCAAATTTTGCATATCTTTAAAAGGGCTAAAATGATCTGTACCTGTATGAATAGTCAAAGGAAAAGGTTTGAAATGGTATAAAAATCGGATCATTTCTGGATTTTCCTCTGGTTTTCTGACCAATTGCAGATCTCTAAATCTTTAAGTGAACGGCCTTCTTGCCATCAACACCCTCTTTATCACTCGATCAGAATCTGGCTGCTTCAAACTAGTGCCAGTTTAAAAAAAAAAAACAAGGTGGTAAAATCAAAAGATTACTTCTACTTAAAAGTGGGACATGAATACCTACAGGTGTAAAAATATTCTGTGTAAAGTAGCAACAAACAAGCTTTTTGTTTCATTTCTGGTGAAGTTCAGAGGTTATGCAATGGAAAAACTACATAACACGGACTGGAGCGATTAGTAGATATAACTGAGAAGTAAATGTTATTCATTAGGATTTTTTTTATTATACTTTTAAAAAAACATAATTTTTTTCTTAAAACTGCTGCAACAGATCAATAATAAGTGAATGTTCAGCGGCTAAAACTGATGTAAATTCCTCAGGGGTAGACAATAAATGAGGCTTAGACAGCCTACAAGGATTTACTGCAGGTTAAAGCAGCGCAAGAGGAATGCAAACCTGATGAGACGCCATTCGGGGCCTTCTGATGAGCACCGAACACAGGAACACTTGGAGAATAGATTTTTCCAAACAGTTTGAATTTGCTGAACACACACTAGTAAGTGACAAACATTTTTTGTCTGCTGGGTTTTCTACTAATCCATAAACAATGGAAACTTGCTTGATGTTGTGTCAAAGCGTATTAATGCATGGACTCTCCATCTTCATGCAACTGGCTGATTTTAATGTAATGGCATTTCCATTTAATCGCGTACAAACTAGGGGTGTAAATTATAATCGTTTTGTATCGATGCATCAATCCAACAGCCGAC